TTATTACATTTTTTTTTTTTGTAAAAATAGTACATGATAGATAATAGTATTTTTTTATATTTGCAGAGGTTCAATTAAAAAATTATAATTTGATGTCAGGTGATATTTTAGAATTTAAGCGTAATTTTTTTAATTCATATTTCTATAAAAAAAATACTTACTTAGATGCTACAATAAAAATAATTATTTTTAAAATGTGCACTGAACAAGGTTCAGGTTTTTCACTTGGACACTCTGTATATGCAGGTGATTTAAAAACAAATATGGCTCTGTTTCAAAAATTAAAAAAATTAATTAAATGGCTTTAATAATATAAGCTGACAATTTTAGAATTTTTCTAAATGTAGTACATTTTGAGCTATATTCAATTATATGATTTTAAAAAGTTACCCATTTTTTTATGACTTGGAAGACATAATATGTTTTTTTTCTGCGAAAAATTATGAAAAAAAGTCAAACTTAAAAAAAAATATAAAATCTAGTTGCATGGTGTCAGTAAAATTATTAACAAAATTCTAATGAAAAGTAAAATAAATAAATAATAACTCTAAATTAGATGTTTTTCTTATTATTGTCCTTTCTTATTAAAAATTTAAAAAATATTCGCATTATTTTCTTTCCCTTGTTGTTTTTTGACATTTGACATCATGCAACTGGATTATTAATTTTTATTATGTTATTATAAAAAAATTGTAAAAGTAGAACATAGTAGATTATACTATGTTTTTTTTGCAGAGGTTCAATTCGAACATCTTGAAAAAAATCTCCCCCGGGAGCCCCAAAAGCCAGCAGTACTGTTGCTGTGCGATTGGTTCCCGAGACAGGTCAATAAGTGTGTGGTTGACATCACTAAAACGGCCTTTGGTTGTAATCAAAGACCTTTTCGATGACAGTGTTTTGGATATTTCATGGAGTAGCAACGGTTTATACCTTTTTGCGTGTTCTTGGGACGGTAGTGTGGCATGTGTTATATTTGATCAACGCGAAATCGGAATCCCTTTATCAATCAAAGAAAAAGTAAATTTCAAATTTAGTAAATTTATCTATCATTCACTTAACAATTCTAGAATGATCTCTATGAACGTATTTATCACAAGTCGTTGCAAAAAAGTTGGAATTTAAGCTTCAGTGGGACTCAAATAGTGGAAAATCCTGAGCTTTTAACTGCCATTGATAAAATAAACGAAACTAGTAATAGTATTAGTCTCGAATTACCGAAACCTGAGTCAAGAGATGTCTCATTTGAGTCACCAAAACCAAACACCACGATTTTGGTACCGGCCAATAAGCAAGTTGAAACGAGACTTCCTTCCGGTAAAAGACGCATAACACCAATGTTATTAACAACTGTACAAACAAGCACCCCAGAAGTGTCAAATAGTCTTCCAAAGTAACTAAATTTATTTCCCCAAAATTTCATATTTTCTGAGATTTTTTATTCTAGGACAAATTTAGAAGTACCACCACCAAAAGAAAGCACATCTTTTAGTAGTTCTTCGCCGACGAAGAGTAAAATCGTTGTTGAAACGGTTGTTGATCAAGTCAAACAACCCACTTTTTCTGGGTCTTCAATAAAAAGGTTTGAAAAATTCAAGTGACTGAAAGTTTATTCAGTTTTTTTTTTTTAGCACAATAGTGAACGATTCAAATAAATTGATAAGTGCGCCTCCAGGGACTCAGATTAATCAATTGACTTGTTGCGAAGTGCCAGGAGATCAGCCTATTGTCCAGTTTATTAATATTTTAGATCCTCTGAAACTGCCCTCAGGGGCAGCAGTTACAAAACAGTGCGGGACTATGAAAATACAGGTTGGTATTAAGGAAAATTTTGTTTGGAGCTAAATTTAGTATCCAAATACCATGTTATTTATTTTACAACTCTTAGAAAAGAAAATTTATTATAACGAAATAAACAAAATTTTAAGCAAAAACTTCATATTTTCTGACTATATGTTCAATAAGTAAAATTACTTTTTTTTTGTTTCGACAATAATTATTTGTGTTTTTTTAAACTCCAAAAAATTAATAATTATACAACGTGTTTCTGAAATAAGTGCAATAAATTTAACCGCTTGCAACATTTTTTTATGTACAATTAAATTATAAATATAAAAAGTTGATTTGTTATTCCGTTGAAAGAAATAGTAAATCTTGTTTTTTTGTTTTTATTTATAAACAACCATATTGTAAAATTGATTACAAATTTTGTTAGGAAAAACATCTGTTAAATTCCAAGCTTAATCATTAAAAATATTATTTCAACAATAATAATAAGTTTTATAATTAACATTAAGTGCAATAATAGAATGCGAAAAAAATTATTTTAACAAAATCACACAAATACTAGTTAAAATTCCATTGTATTGTAAGATAGTCAGTCAGTATTTTTATTGTCAAAATTGTTGTTGATAATCTTATTACTGATCAATTTAAACTTTGGTAAAAATTGAGTTTCTAAAGTGGTTCTTTGTTTTAAAAATCTTTTGGAAATTTCTTTTTAAATATTTTAACTTTAAATAGAATGTATCTTATTTTGTTCAAAATTGACTTTAAATAAATAAAATTGTTAATTAATTTAGTCAAAGGCTTAAAAATGCTAACTAAGCCAAAAAAATTACTTTTATTGATTTTTCTGTTCCTACTCACTGCGCCAATTAAACAAAATCAACTTTTTTATTATTTATTTTTCACAATTTTGTTATTCTTAAATCTAAATAATAAAATTTTAAACTAATAATAAGAATTTGGACAAATTGGTTTACAACCATTTCTGGATTAAAATTGAGCCAAATTGCTTTATTTTTCCCGAAAACAGTGATTTAAGCAATTATTTTGTTGAAATACATTTCAATAAGCTCACATCTCTTTATTTTGGCACAAATTTGGAATTTGAGCATTTATTTTTGTTAAAATACATCGATTTACAACAATTTCAGGCTTAAAATTAATGCTTTATTTTGGCCGAAAATTGGCTTTAAGCATTGACTTGATTTCTTGATTAAAATCAAGCAAAATTGGATTGAAAATAGCAAAAAACGCTTTATTTTAACAGAAAACCGCGATTTAAGCATTTATTAATTTTTATTTATTTAAGCATTTACTCGTATACAGCGAAAAATTTCAACTAAGATAAGATACCAGGATTTTTTGACATTTGACATTTTTTATGTGTATTTAATGATACTGATGATCTTGTATATGTTTTTGTATTTTTTTTCAATTAATTAGTAAGATACAAAAATTTTGCCATTAAAAGCCACAAATTTAAACTCTCATAACTTCGAAATTTTTATTGGTAATTTTTTTTTAAATTTTTTCCATGTTCCTGGTGTTTTACCTTATACAGGGTGCGTCAGAACTCGTACCCCAGAGGAAAATTTCAAGTAAGATAAGTTACCAGGACCACGGAAAAAGCTTGACATTTATTTTTTGACATTTGACATTTTTTTAATGTCTATTTAATGATACTGATGATGTTGTATATGTTTTTTTACAATTATTTATCGAACAAAATTGGATTGTAAGTAACTCAAATAGCTTTATTTTGAAAACTACGTTTTAAGCACGTATTTATTTTTAATTTTTATTCATTTAAGAATTTAAACATATTTATATTTATCATATCTGGAATAAAATCGAGCAAAAATCCGTTAGAATCTCTTTATTTTTGCAGAAAATTGTAATTTGGGCATTTATTTCGTTAAAATACTAAACTCTTCGTTATTTTTCAAAACAATTATCGGTTTCGAAAAAATAGTACATAACACGTTGTGTATTTTAAATTACTGTAACATAAATTATTACAGCGGTTTATTTTTTGTAAAAAATGGAAAAAAAGAAAAATAAATAAACCAGTTCAAAAAAAAAATAGATTTACAAAAATCGTTACTCTTCGTATGTGTTAATCGCTGTACTTATTTCTATTACGCGCTGTATACATTATTAAAAGAAATAATGAGTAAACGAAACAAGTTTTTTGGTCCGTATTATATTTTATGATTTTTTCTCAATAAGAAAAAATACAAATTAACCATTTTAAATAACTATACACGCAATTGCGGTGTTGCCATTTTCAAACGGAATTTGGTGCTATCCAATCAACAACTTTTTGTATTTTTACCGAATTATCGTAAAATACTAAATAAAATAAAATTTTTAGATAACTAATAACTGCAAATCGAGAAAAAAACTCATTAAAAGTAGCTCGAATCTTGGCTTTAAGCACTGACTTCGAATGATTTTTTGCTTAAAATCGAACAAAATTGGATTGGGAATAGCTCAAAGAGTTGGCAGAAAACTACGATTTAAGCATTTATTTATTTTTAATTTTTATTTACTTAAAAATTGAAACATATTGTTATCATTTCTGTATTAAAATCGAGCAAAAATCCGTTAGAAGTAGCTCAAATCTTCTTATTTTGTCAGAAAAATGTAATTTGTGCATTTATTTCGTTAAAATACTAAACTTTTCGTAATTTTTTTAAAAAAATATCTATTTCGAAATTTTGTTGTTCTTAACGAAATCTCTCACTGGTTGCGATTATTGCACTTATTTCAGAGACACGTTTTGTATTTTAAGTAACATAAATTATCACAAGAAAGAAAAATAACCAAAACCATTAAAAAAAAAAATAGATTTACAAAAAGCGTTACTCTTCGTATGTGTTAATCGATGTACTTATTTCTATTACGCGCTGTATACATGAGTAGACGAAACAAGTTTTTTGGTCCGTATTGTATTTTATGATTTTTTTTCAATAAGATACACAAAAATTGTGATTTAAAAAAATGCAATTGCGGTGTTGCCATTTTCAAACGTGATTTGGTGCTATCCCATAAACAACTTTTTGTATTTTTACCGAATTATCGTAATCGATAATCATAAACAACATTTTTAGATAACTAATAACTGCCACAAGACCTCAAAAGGGTCTTTATCGAGCATTGAAGCGTACAAAAATGTCGACGATAAAGAACCAAACTGGGATACGTACATTGGTAATTTCTCACTTTCCCACCTGTTTTCCCCCCTTTTTTTAATTCATATGACTTCAGGTTCAACCATTCGATGCTTGGCAGCCAACAGAAAATTCGTTGTAGTGTGTTGTGAAGACCTTAGTATTAATTGTTACGACATCAAGTCTGGAGCACGTCCATTACCTCCAATAATCATCGAAGATGTGGTTTCCTCAATTAGTCTATCACAAGATAGTCACTGTCTAGTTTTAACAAAAACTGGTCTTTTGTATATGTGGAGTTTTGATTCTTGTAAGAGCATTTTGAGTAGGATATCAATCAGAAGTTTGCTCAATAATAAAGGTAAAATGTGACTAGATTGAGACAGTTGGTGATTTTTTTTTTAAGGTGTTGTCAGTAGTTGTGGTTTGAGTGCTTCCAATTCACCAGTAATTACACTGACTGATGGCCGGGCTTATTCCTACGTTAGTGATCTCCAAACTTGGTAAATTATTATTATTATTATAAAAAAAATATTATTTAATTATTATTATTATCAGTAAATTTTTGCGACATTTTAATGCTTTAATTTAATGCTACAGGAGTTTTTAATTTTTTTTATTAATAAAAAATAAACACTTCATTCGAAACATCCAAAATGTCATGTGTGAAATTCACAATGTTGCCATATTAAAAACATAAAATTCACCAGATCCGAGGTGAAAAATTTGCCAAATTTTCACTAGATTAAGATTTGCATGGCAAAAAAAAACGCAAGAAGCTGCTTAAACTCATGGAAAAAGCAAAAATTGCATGCTTTTCGGCCTAATTCTGTGTTTTTTCGGCTTGTTTTGAACAAAATTTTGCGAAATAATTGCGTTTCTAGCTGAAAAACGTGCTAAAATGCTATGGAAATGCAAAAGAAATGTAATTCCAGACTTTGTTTTTTGATTTTTTTAGTCTGTTTTGGCGAAATTTTGCGAAAAACATGATATTTTAGTACAAAAACGTGCTTAAAACATGTTTTTGTCTTAATTTGCTAAAAAATCGAGTGAAACAAACAAAATAACATCAATATTAATCTGTTTTGTGATTTTTAAAATTGTGATTTAAAAATGTGCTTGAAAACATTCTCGGCTTATTTCCGTTTTATTTTGCTAAAAAATCGAGTGAAACAAACAAAATAACATCAATATTAATTATTTTTGTGATTTTTAAGCGTGAAACAAGCTAAAAATAATATCAATTTCGATTTGATTTTGTAATTTTTTTGACTGCTTCCACGAAATTTATAAAATTTTCTTTGCTTTTATGTCAAAAACGTGCTTGAAAAAGGCAAAAATAACGCCGTTTTTGGTCGAATTTGTTGAATTTTTGCCTTGTTTTTAACGAATTTTTTTTATCTGAAAAAGTATTCGAAAAACACAAAAATATTTTGTCATTTTTGACCCTGTCCAGTAAAATCTTGTAAATAACAATAAACAACGATTTTTAACCAACTTGGGGGTTTTTCGACTTTTTCCAAAAAATTTTGAAAAAATTATCAAGTTTCTAGTTAAAGTGTAAAAAATGCACGAAAAACAGTTTTTTTTCTTTTCCCAAAAAATCACAGATATTAGAATTTTAACAAAAGTTTTTCACCAAATCACCAGACTAGCATGAAAATCACCAGATCTGGTGAAATTTTATCACACCTGGCAACACTGGAAATTCACTATGACGCTTCTACCAACTTAACAACACTTTAACAATTATGTAAAAAACGAACTACAACTGGTTGTAATACAGGGGTTCCATTTTTATCGTCGAAAATTCAAGAATAGAACACGTGACCATATATAAATGGCGCCAAAATTTCAAACCAAGAAAATTAAATTGAATTTTTAAGAAAAACTGTAAACAAATTATTGGATGATTAGATGTTACACAGTTATTATCTCATTTTAAATATTTGTAACGAATTGCAAAATTCAATAGTTTTAATTTTTTTGTTATAAAAAAACAAAAGTAGGTTACCTACAATACGCCAAAAATAAGTCAAAAAAATATTATGTATAATTTTTTTATATAAAATAATGATATTGCCAAAAATAGAGTTTTTTTTTTAAATTTATTTTTATACTTAACATACGAAAAATTTCAAATATAGGTATATAGGTCATCAAAAGGTTACGAAATTTTTTTCATGATTTTTAAACTAGGATTTTTTTTACTATTATTTTGCACATATTTCAGCATATATTACTGCTAAAAGCTAGAAATTTGGTATGTTAGTTAGTTGTAGGATGGGGACGCAGCACGAAACACTTGGTAAAAATCGGTCGTAAAATTATACGGTTCATGGGAATAAAAATTATTTAGTCATGAAATATACCTTATTAAACAGTAAAATGTGATAAAATAAGAAGAATAATGGGTACCAAACCAAAAAAAAATGCACCTTAGACTCGAACTTGTGGTAGGGATGTTTTCCAAATAAGTAGGATAAGGAAAGTCATGTGATGTTCAAACCAGTTTTTTTTGTGTTATGCTACTAAAAAATATAAAACAACAAAAGTAGGTTATCTACAATATGTATAATTTTTTTTCTTCATCTCTTATTATTGAGTCTATTTTTTTTTTATTTTATTGCTCTTAAAAGTGTTTTGTGGTTTAGGGTGCAGTTGTCGAATCCTCTTGACCCCCTGAGTCGAGTTGGGGGAAGTCTGACACGGAGAGTGTCCCCAAATCTACCCCTTGCCTCCCTCCAACGAGTGATGCCGTTTCATGGCCCCCACGACACTCTACCTTCGGGTGTAACATTGAGTTTCTTAGAGAATCAAATAACTGCAAGCTCTATTATTAATTCTTCAGACGAATACAGACATTGGTTGATTGCAACTGTGAATTATTTGCTTGATAAAGGTAATTGTCATGAAGGGGGGATCACTGTGCTATAATTATTTTGTTACAGGACCCGAGTGCAGACTTAGGGTAATTTTAGATGAGTTATTGGGGCCCACATACTCGCCCTCAGCGGCGAAAAAGTCAAAAAACAGTGAAGGGATTTTGGGGAAACCCAGACACGCATTTCTTCAAGAAGTTTTGGAAATAATCAAGACTAAACTACCGTGGCAAAGATTATATAAGGAGTATAAGGAGCAACTAGATGAAATACTTCAACCCTAAACAATGTAATAACGATTTTTTACATTTTATAAAATAAAGTATAACTATTTGTGCCGCTGTTTTATTTCCTCCTCAACGTATTTGTCTGAGTCGCTTAAAAAAAAATCTGTGTTTTTTCGGCTTGTTTTCAACAAAACGCTCTGGAAATGCAAAAGTAATGTAATTCCAGACTTTGTTTTTTGACTTTTTTAGTCTGTTTTGGTGAAATTTTGCGAAAAACATGAGATTTTAGTACAAAAACGTGCTTAAAACATGTTTTTGTCTTATTTTGCTAAAAAATCGAGTGAAACAAACAAAATAACATCAATATTAATCTTTTTTGTGATTTTTAGGCTTGTGAAATGATCACAATAGAGCCTAAAAATTAGGTAAAAACATCATAATATAATTGTTTTTTATAACAATTTAGTGACTTTTGATACACTTTGAAAACTGTCGCGAAAAAACAGAGTTTACAATTTAAAAATCTGCTTAAACCTCCGAAAAAGTAAAAAATATGTCATTTTCGTATTAATTCTGTGTTTTTAGCTTGTGTTTTAAAAAAAATTGTGAAATAATTGCGTTGATAGTTGAAAAACATGCTAAGACTCCCAAGAAATGCAAAATTAATGTAATTTTCGACTTAATTTGTTGATTTTTCAGTTCGTTTTAGCAAAATCTCGAAAAAAACTGAGATTGTAGTACAAAAACGTGCTTATTTTTGTCTTATTTTGCTCAAAATCGAGTGAAATAAAGTAAATAACATCAATATTAATTGTTTTTGTCATTTTTAAGTGTGTTTGGATAAGATTTTGCGAAATAAATGTGCCTTTGGTTCAAAAACGAAGCGAAACAAGCTAAAAATAATATCAATTTCGATTTGATTTTGTAATTTTTTTGTCTGCTTTAACGAAATTTTTAAAATTTTCTTTGCTTTTATCTCAAAAATAACGCCGTTTTTGGGCGAATTTGTTGAATTTTTGCCTTGTTTTTAACGAAATTTTTTTTAGCTGAAAAAGTATTCGAAAAACACAAAAATATTTTGTCAATTTTGACCCTGTCTAGTAAAATCTTGTAAAAAACAATAAACAACGATTTTTAACCAACTTGGGTTTTTTTTGACTTTTTCCAAAAAATTTTGAAAAAATAATCAAGTTTATAGTTAAAGTGTAAAAAATGCACGAAAAACAGTTTTTTTCTTTCCCAAAAAATCACAGATATCAGAATTTTAACAAAAGTTTTTCACCAAATCACCAGATCTGGTGAAATTTTATCACACCTGGCAACACTGAAAATTCACTATGACGCTTCTACCAACTTAACAACACTTTGACAATTGTTTAAAACACGAACTGCAACTGGTTGTATTATACAGGGTTCCATTTTTATCGTCGAAAATTCAAAAAACGAACACGTGTCTTATAAATGGCGCCAAAATTTCAAACCAAGAAAATTAAATTGAATTTTTAAGAAAAACAGTAAACAAATTATTTTCTTCACAATTGGATGTTACACAGTTATTATCTCATTTTAAATATTTTTAACGGATTGCAAAATTTAATAGTTTTCATTTTTTTGTTATAAAAAAAACAAAAGTAGGTTATCTACAATACGCCAAAAATAAGTCAAAAAATTATTATGCATAATTTTTTTATATAAAATAATGATATTGCCAAAAATAGAGGTTTTTTTTTAAATTTATTTTTATACTTAACATACGAAAAATTTCAAATAAGTATACAGGATGCGCCAGAACTCGCGCCCCAGAGAAAAATGCCATATAAGGTAAGATACCAGGAACACGGAAAAAATGTTAAAAAAATTTTATCTATAAAAATTTCGAAGTTATGAGGGTTTAAAGTTTGCACTTTGCCTCTATTTATTTCTGTTTCAAACATAATTTTCCAAGTTTTTTGCTATAGGCTATTAAAAGAGGAAACAAGAAAGCTGTATCCTAAATTGTAACTCTGTTCAATGTTATTTGTGGCTTTTACTGGCAAAATTTTTGTACCTTTACTAAACAATTGTCAAAAAACATATACAAGATCATCAGTATCCTTAAATAGATATAAAAAAAATGTCAAATGTCAAAAAATAAATGTCAAAATTTTTTGACAGATAGAATTTTTTAAACATTTTTTTCGTGTTCCTAGTATTTTACCTTACTTGAAAATTTTCTCTGGGGCGCGAGTTCTGGCGCACCCTGTATAGGTCATCAAAAGGTTACGATATTTTTTTCATGATTTTTAAACTAGGATTTTTTTACTATTATTTTGCACATACTGCTATATTATATTATATTATCTATTTATTATATATTACTGCTAAAAGCTAGAAATTTGGTATGTTAGTTAGTTGTAGGAAACACTTGGTAAAAATCGGTCGTAGGGGAAACCCAGACACGCATTTCTTCAAGAAGTTTTGGAAATAATCAAGATTAAACTACCATGGCAAAGGCTATATAAGGAGTATAAAGAGCAACTAGATGAAATACTTCAATCCTAAACAATGTAATAACGATTTTTTACATTTTATAAAATAAAGTATGTAACTATTTGTGTCGCTGTTTCATTTCTTCCTCAACGTATTTGTCTAAGTCGCTTAAGGGTTTGTAATAATAATGAACAGTTTGGGCCCCCGCGAACATGGTGAGGGTGGCTGCTCCCAGGAAGGAGAGGTACCTAGGCCATGACACTCCTGCTGGCATCTTACTATTGGGGGGCTTCTTCTGCAAGAATTTTCGCTTGTCGCCTCTTATACACCTTATCTGTGAAATAATTGTCAGTGATTGGGGTAGTTTTTATACAAAACTTACAGAAATTTGTTTCACCCACTTGCCAGTTGATCATGGAAAACTCTAATGCGGCTCCTAGGACAAAAAATAGCGGTAGAAACCTGTAAACCCCCAAATACTTTTTCCCTGGCCACTTGTCCAAAAGTAATTGGAGAGTAATACTTCGTTTCATGTCGGGTGTTACATAATACGTTTATTTTTTGTATAATAATAAAGGGTTTTTTACGTCGTGGAGGAACAATAATGTTTTTCGTCTAATTTAAATGGTGGTAATTATTTTTCAAATTTGAACACAAAAAACTTTTCCATTGACAAAACCGTCAAACCTAACCTATAGAAAGACGTGCATCTTGCATAACGGGTTGCCAACACAATTAAAAATCCCTAAAAGTGGGGTTAGTTGTGTGATTGAACTATTTTTTAATTTTTTTGAATAATTTTGAAAAAGGCACAATGGCAGAGCTAGTACAGCGTCATTTGGAATCAATGGCTGAAGAAATAGAAGAAATGAGGAGAACTAAGTTGTATACTCTTGAAGAAACCAGGTTAGCAGCATGTTTTTGTAGCGTATAGGTTAGAAAAAATAAGCTTTGTTGTAAATAGAGAGTTATTAATGAACAATTTTTTGCATAGTTGAAATGTATTGACGGTACCTTAAAACATGCTTTTTGAAAAAAAAGTTACATACAGAGTGTTCTAGATAAGACTTCTCGGTCCGTAAAAATGTGATTGACATTTGACATTGAGTCTCAAAATTGAACACAGTAAATTTTTGCGACATTTTAATGCTTTAATTTAATGCTACAGGAATTTTTAATTTTTTTTATTAATAAAAAATAAACACTTCGTTCAAAACATATCCAAAAGTCATGTATGAAATTCACAATGTTGCCATGCCAGATCAAAAATATAAAATTCACCAGATCCGAGTTGAAAGATTTGCCAAATTTTCACCAGATTGGCAAAATCTTTCGAAAAAACGCAAAAAATCTGCTTAAACTTATGGAAAAGATAAAAATGACATGCTTTACTGTCTAATTCTGTGGTTTTTCGGCTTGTTTTCAACAAAATTTTACGAAATAATTGCGTTTGTAGTTGAAAAACGTGCTAAAACGCTCTAGAAATGCAAAAATAATATAATTTCAGATTTGATTTTTTGATTTTTTTGTCTGTTTTGGCGAAATTTTGCGAAAAACATGAGATTTTAGTACAAAAACGTGTTTAAAACATATTTGTGTCTTATTTTGCTAAAAAATCCAGTAAAACAAACAAAATAACATCAATATTAATATTTTTTGTGATTATTAGGCGTCTGAAATGATCAAAATAGAGCCTAAGAATTAGGTAAAAATATTATAATATAATTGTTTTTATAACAATTTAGTGACTTTTGCAAAATTAATGTAATTTTCGACTTAATTTGTTGATTTTTCAGTTCGTTTTAGCAAAATCTCGAAAAAAAACTGAGATTGTAGTACAAAAACGTGCTTATTTTTGTCTTATTTTGCTCAAAATCGGGTGAAATAAAGTAAATAACATCAATATCAATTGTTTTTTTTTATTTTTAAGCGTGTTTGGATAAGATTTTACGAAATTAATGAGCCTTTGGTTCAAAAACGAAGCGAAACCAGCTAAAAATATAATTAATTTCGATTTGATTTTGTAATTTTTTTGCCTGCTTCAACGAAATTTTTAAAATTTTCTTTGCTTTAATCTCAAAAACGTGCTTGAAAAAGGCAAAAATAACGCCGTTTTTGGTCGAATTTGTTGAATTTTTTTCTTGTTTTTAACGAAATTTTGCAAAATAATTTTATTTTAGCTGAAAAAGTATTCGAAAAACACAGAAATAAACAGAAATATTTTTAACCAATTTGGTGGTTTTTCGACTTTTCCAAAAAAATTTGAAAAAATAATCAAGTTTCTAGTTGAAAGCGTAAAAAATGCTCGAAAAACAGTTTTTTTTCATTTCCAAAAAATCACAGATATTAGAATTTTAACAAAAGTTTTCACCAAATCACCAAACATTAATAATTATTTAAAAAACGAACTACAACTGGTTGTAATATACAGGGGTTCCATTTTTGTCATCGAGAATTTAAGAATAGAGCACGTGACCATAATGTGGATTTGTCTTATGAACAATTGTTCAAAAACGCTTATAACCATGAAAATAAAATTGAATTTTTAAGAAAAACAGTAAACAAATTATTTTAAATTTTAAATATTTGTAACGGATAGCAATAGTTTTTAATTTTTTGTTATGAAAAAACATAAGTAGGTTATCTACAATACGCCAAAAATAAGTCAAAAATTATTATGTATAATTTTTTTTATATAATAAAATGATATTGACAAAAATAGAGGTTTTTTTGTAAATTTATTTGTATACTAGACATACAAAAAATTTTAAATATAGGTATATTGTAGCTAAGGTCATCAAAAGGTTACGATATTTTTTTCATGATTTTTAAACTAGGGTTTTTTTTTACTATTATTTTGCACATATTTCAGCGTACAATTTTCTGCTAAAAGCTAGAAACTTGAAATTTGGTATGTAAGTTACTTGTAGCAAGGGGACGCAGCACGAAACACTTGGTAAAAATCGGTCGCAAAGACCAAAAATCGGTCGTAAAATTATACGGTTCATGGGAATAAAAATTATTTAGAGTCATGAAATATACCTTATTAAACAGTAAAATCTGATAAAATAAGAATAATAATGGGTACCGAACCAAAAAAAAATGCACCTCAGACTCGAACTTGTCGTAAGAATGTTTTCCAAATAAGTAGGATAAGGAAAGTCATGTGATGTTCACACCAGATTTTTTTGTGTTATATTAAAGTTTTTCTTAAAAAAAAATGGTAATCATTTAGTGTGCTTGAAAATTTCGAGCTCTCCCAAATTTTAAATTTTGGGGCCATTAATTCTAGTAAAGAAGGAACTATTCTTGAATCTCCGCTGGTAAAAACGCAACCACCCTGTATATTTTTAATGAGTTACAAATGTTTTTTTTTTAAAGAAACATATTTTTTCAAAGTTTTTGACTCATTTTGTAAAAACAAACCATCTTTTCAGGTTGATATTAAAGACTCGAAAAGAGTTCGAGTACAAGATCAACGGTGTGTCGAAAAACCTGCAAGATTTCAAAGAGTACATCATGTACGAGAAAGTGTTATTGAAGCAGATTCACAATCGGCGAGACAAACACATGATTGCTGAACGAAAAACCAGTCTTGAATATAAAATTCTGCGAAGAATAAAGAATTTGTACGAAATCGCCTTACAAAGATTTTCTGGCGACTTCTCTCTGTGTTTATCATATTTTAAATTTTGCAAACAAAGAAATGACATCAATGCCGCCAACATTGCGGTCCAAAAAATGATAAAGAATTGTTCCGAAAATCCAGAAGTGTGGCAAGTGGCTGCTGCTTGGCACGCCCATGATCGTAATGACCTCAACTCGGCTTTCATAGTCTTAAACAAAGGCTTGACTTTTCACAAAAATAGTCAATTGTTGTACACAGAAGCCATCAAGTTGGAACTCTCAATCGTAAAAAACAATTCATCGGAAGACACAGAAAAATTACAAAAAAGAGTGTGCGAAAAAATCGAAACTTACTTGAAGCTCATTTATGATTACATAAACGATTACAACTATCTAATCGAAATTTTAAGTCTGTTAGAATCGTACAGTTTCACAATGAGTGTCCAAAATCTAATAATCGACAAACTTTTGAAAGATCACTCCGACTTGGAGTTTGTTTGGCACACTTTAGCACAGCGAGAAAAAAGAGGTGAGCAGTTTTTTTTTTGTTTTTTTTTTCAAAAAAATGTTTATTGCGGGTTTTAGGACTCCATTATGGTGCAAGTAGCAAACAAGCTAGTTCCAAGGAGGCTTGTTTAAGTTTGTGTTTCGCTAAATATGAGGAAGGCTTGAAGAAGGTTTCCCCCTCCGAAAAGGCTAGTTTGTGGTCAGTTTATTTAGATTGTTTGGAAGAAGCACGACTGCAGAACAACCAGAAATCTGACATTCTTAAAACTTTGAAAACGGTCCTGGAACAAGCATCAAATGAGAATTATCTCCCAGATAGGTATTACATTAAATGGGTGGAGCTTGCCAGTGATACAGAGGTGTTACACATTCTGGAAAAAGGTAATTTTCTTCAATATATTATTGTACATCGAAGTGGTCGTTGGAGGAGTGGCAACTAGTGTGTTTTTTTTTACATAAATCTGGCAAAAGCGTTCGAAAAATTCATTTAGTCTAATTCTATAATTTTTTAATTAAGTTTTATGCACTTTTTTAAGTCTTTAAGACATCTGGAAATGTAAAAAACGTAAAATAGATCAATTTTAAAGTTAAATTTTTTTTTAGTTTTGACGAGATTTTGCTCGATTTTTGGCACCCGGAGCGGTCTAATGGCAATAACTCCGGACTTATTAGAGATAACTTATATTTGGTACCGTTGGATAGAAAATTGAATTTTCTATCATATATTAAAAAGTTCAGTGCTCTACGATGAATAGTTATCGAGAAAATTTCTGATAAAGTCAAAAATATGGAGAATTTAAATCCGACTATAACTTCAAAACTACTACGAATTTTGCAGTTTTCTTGACGCCAATCGATTCCCCGGAACATTTTACATAGGCTTATGTCAAAATATTAAATCATTGAGATACAGTTTTTTCGCAATTTAAAAAAGAAAAAAAAGTAAAAATTTGTCAACAAAAAAACCGTCATTTCTCAAAAACTATGAGTCCTAGGTCAAAGCGGTTTATACAGGCGTATTCTCCGGTTAATTTTACATGTAGTACTAGTTTGTCATAAGAATTAAAAAAAAATTGATTTTTTTTTTGTCAAAATCGGGTATTTCTACCATTATTTTTGACTTTATTACTCAATATCTCAAAACTATGCATCGTAGAGTATTCTAACTAGTTGAATCGTGTTCAGCGAGTAATTTTACGTCTAGAAAACCATATTTCAAGCGTTTTTACGACTTTTAGGAAATTGACTATTTTTACGATTTTACTACCGCTCACCTTGAAAAACTCAAAAAATTCAAAATTTTTGAAACTTGACCCATTGTCGTCTTATGCACTTATTTGAGTTTTTAAGACCTCTATAAATGTAAAAAACGTTATATGGATGAATTTTTAGGTTAAATTTTTTTTTGATTTTCGTCGAAATTTTGGTCGATTTTTGGCACCCGGAGAGGTCTATTGCCAATAACTCCGGACTTATTGGTAATAACCCTTCATGTTTGGTACCGTTTGAAAGCAAATTTAATTTTCTATCATATAAAAAAAAGATCAGTGTTCTACGATGAATAGTTATCCAGAAAATTTCTGATAAATTCAAAAATATCGAGAATTTAAATCCCACTATAACTTCAAAACTACTACGAATTTTGCAGTTTAATTGACGCCAATCGATTCCCCGGAACATTTTACATAAGTTTAGGTCAAAGTATTATATCATTGAGGCACAGTTTTGCCGCAATTTACAAAATAAAAAAAGTAAAAATTTGTCAACACCCCCTTAAAAAATTGTGTTTTTGAACATGTCTCAGATTCGATTTAAACCTATCTTATCCGATAGATTTTGACGCGCTGATTACGAATTTACCAACCACATTGGGCTATCTCCTTTAGTTTCGCCGTAATCGGCGTTTAAAAATTCAATTTTTTTGCGAGATATCGACTTGGCTTTGGCTTCAGTCGATAGATTGTCTTACGCTGATTACGATGGAATTAATTTCGTTGCTCTAAGTCTAATAGTTTGGCCGTAATCGCGTTCAAAAAGTAAAAATTTCCAAAATTGTGAAACTTTAAATGCGTTTTTCTACGAAACTATAAAACTTAGAGCAAAAAGCTAAAAACCATTAAAATTAGCTTAAAACTATCTATTTATTGGCGCAAACCGCAAGTCGTTCCGGGTTATGGTTCCGGGTACAGAGCCATTTTTAGTTTAAAAAAAAATATATATCTCAAAAACTATGAGTCCTAGGTCAAAACAGTTTATTCAGGCGTATTCTCCCGTTAATTTTACATATAGTACGAGTTTTTCATAAGAATTAAAAATTTTTGATTTTTTGGTTAAAATCGGATATTTCTAGCCTTATTTTTAACTTTATTACTTAATATCTCAAAAACTATGTATCGTAGAGTATTTTTTGGCCTCCTGACATGTAAATGTCAAATTAACGTACAATTGACGCCTATTGAAAGACTGTATTTACAGTCGCCTGGGCATTTTACGCACAGACGAGTGTAAAGTGACAGTTTTACCGCACGGCCAAAATTATCTTCATAGACATTTATAAAAAAACTGTTTGTAAGATGATAACATTTTTAATAAAACGCTCTACACACAACCTTTCAATCTTAGAACTCTTTTTTCTTCACACCACTTTATAATTATAAACACATTGTACTGGGCTTCATACCTTGCTCGCGATTTTTCGGGCAATAGCTCGGTTGTAACATTTRCTGCAGCACTTCTGATTTCTGGTGGGGTACACATGGGGCTATTATCGCTCGACATTTTGAAGCATAAATTCACCAACAAGACAACGATAACAAAATTTTGTGTCTGAGACGTTTTTGCGTCTTTTTTAATTGTTTGACATTATAGTGCATAGCCACCGTGATATTTATTGTCAAACGTATTTATTTGTATTAATTCTGAATTTTGTATTTTGGATTTTTGTTTAAACGTCGGCCAAAAAGCTTAATACAAATCTTGTGCGTTAACCATTTTACAGTGCTCAATTATTAAAGCACTCCGCTGCGCGTCGTGCTTCAAATTCATTTCGCACTGTAAAATGTAAGTTATCGCACACGAATGTAAATAACTATTATCTTGTTGCATCGTGTTCAGCGCGTAATTTAACAACGTCCAGAAAACCATATTTCAAGCCTTTTTACGACTTTTGATAAATTGATTATTTTTACGATTTTACTACCGCTCTCCTACAGAAACTCAAAAAATTCGTTATTTTTTAACCTTGACCCAATAACGTTTTATGCACTGTTTTGAGTCTTTAGGACATATAGAAATGTAAAAAAAACGTTATCTGGATTAATTTTAAACTTGAAAATTTTTTTGATTTTAGTCGGGATTTTAGTCGATTTTTGGCACCCGGAGCGGTCTATTGCCAATAACTCCTGACCTATTGGTGATAACTTCTTATGTTGAGTACCGTTGGAAAGAAAATTAAATTTTCTGTCATACACAAAAATTTCAGTGTTCTACGATGAATAGTTATCGAGAAAATTTCTGATTAAATAAAAAAAAAATTCTATGTATATATTTTATTTATTCTAGCCTTAATGAAAATATTTTATCAGTATTTATTTTATGGAATTCTAGTTTTTCAACTTAATAATAATATTTGCTTGCATATCCTATTTTTTGTGTTGATCGTCCTTTAAATTTTATTTTTTATTTTATTTTATTTTTATTTTAAATATGCATTTAGACTTCTACAACCTACCTGATGCACATTAATATAAAAAAGAGACACTTAGGATGTTCGCGGATTACGAAAATTAAATGTTTCAGGAACTTCAGCATTTCCGGAATCAATCGACTTGTGGAAGCTCCTTCTTCGCTACGCGACTATGAACGACATGAAAAAGAAAGTCGACGAAATATTCGAAAAAGGGACCGAAATGCTAAAAGAGCGCTCCTTGCCCTTATGGTTTATGTACTTGCGTTACTACGGATTGTTGACAAAAGATGACATTGTTGATAGTACTTATCGTAAGGGTTTATCACAGCCCCCTGAAATTTCCCAAGCCCTCAAACCGCGCTACATTGAGTGGTTAGCCCTCCAGAAAGGTATAAATGATGCCCGAAAAATGTACAATGTTTTGGCGAATCAAGAACCATTTTGCAAAGAGTTACATTCCACCATGTCCAAATTGGAGTCGATGGAAATCGAACATGATTACGCGGTGTGGGGTTGCGTTCATCAATTGGCGTGTAAACAATTTGGAAGGGAGGAGGTTGATGTGTGGATTAATCACATATTGTTTTATTTGCACTTTAACAAAACGGACAATGTTAACGAAAATGTGCAACGGATCTACAGCGAAGCGGAAAATACTCTCACACCGTTGCTACTCCCAGATTTCAAAGAGCGATACGAAAAAGCGCTGACTGAACTGTAATCGAGTATTTTTTCAATAAACAATAATACTTACTTGAGTGTTTTAATGAATTCCTTCTTTCAACCAGAAAAAAAAATGTGTTATTAAAAACTCGCCCTTGGCTCGTGCATAGACTTCCTTCTCGTTATATAATATACTATTGAGCCAGTCCTAAGACTACAATCTAAACTCAAATATTTTTACTCCGGAAACGTCAAGGGATTTTCACACTATTAAAACTTGAACTTTTGTCGACTCCCACGAGGAGAAAAGCTAATCAAATGAACGATAATGCGTATCACTTAATAGAAAAGTAACTCACATTATTAGATTTTGTAAAAACTG